TATGGAAAGAAAATGGAAAAATTTATAAATCTGAAAATACCTTGAGATAAATAAAAATGGAAACACAACATCCTAAAACTTATGCGATGCAACAAAAGCAGTTCTAAGAGGGAAATTTATAGTGATAAATGCTTACATTAAAAGGCAAAACTCAGCTGGCAGAGTGGCGCGTTGGTTAGGAGTTGGCTTGGGATGCCAGCTTTGAGCAGCAGGGCCCTGGTTCGGATCCCACATGAGGGCCAGTGACGCTGCTCTTTCCACAGCTAAGATGGTGAACAACAGCTCGACCTGGAGCTGGGCTGCTGTGAGTCGCTGGCGATGGCATAGGCTGCAGTGGAGCTGGCCAGCAGCAGGCGTGCACTTTCGCGAGCTGCTGTGAGACACAGTGAGCGGCCCTCCAATGACCAATGAGTGACTGCCTCACTGGGGAAGAGAGCAATGATAACACCAACATGGGCCAGTGAAGCGACATCCCCCACAACTAGACTGAAGAACAAAAGTACAACAACTTGTCTGTTCCCCTCCCCCTACTCCCCAATAAAATCTTAAACAAACAAACAAACAAACAAACAAACAAACAAACAAACAAACAAAAAACCCTCATAGATACAGATAAATTGATGGTCGTCAGATGGGAGGAGTGTGGAGGGATGTGTGAAAAAGATAAAACGGATTAAGAAGTACAAATTTCCAGTTATAAAAATAGTCACAGGGATGTGAAGTACAGCAAGGGGATACAGTCAATAATATTCTAATAACTATGTATGGTGTCAGGTGGGTATTAAACTTATCAGAGTGATCACTTTGCAAGCTATATAAATCTAATCACTATGTTGTACACCTGACTAACATAATACTGTATATAAACACTAATTGGAAAATAAATTATTGTGAAAAGATCTCATGTAAAAATCTAACTTTATACCTTAAAAGAAAGAAGAGTAGTTCAGAAAAAGAAGAGTAAACTAAGCCCAAAGTAATACAAGAAAATAAAGATCAGAGTAGAAATAAATTAAATAGAAATAAAAAGACAATTAAAAATCGATGGAACTGGCTGGCCGAGTGGCGCATTAGTTAAGAGCTGGCTTGGGACGCCAGCTCTGAGCAGCAGGGTCCAGGTTTGGATCCCACATGAGGGCCAGTGATGCTGCTCTTTCCACAGCTAAGATGGTGAACAACAGCTTGACCTGGAGCTGGGCTGCCATGAGTTGCCTGCAATGGCATAGGCTGCAGCCCCTGCTGCAGTGGGCTGCCATAAAGCTACTGTGAGTGGCCAGCAGCCAGCATGACCGGCCAGCAGCTGGTGTGAGCTGCCAAGAGCCACCATGAGCGGCTGTCCAGAAGCCAGTGACCGATCTGCCTCATCCAGGAAGAGCACAATGATAACACCAACATGGGCCAGTGAAGCAACATCCTCCACAACTCGACTGAAGAACAAAAGGACAGCTACTTGTCTGTTCCCCTTCCCCAATTCCCCAACACTGTTCCCCTCCCCCAGTTCCCCAATAAAATCTTTTAAAAAAAAGAAATCGATGGAACTAAGAGGTGGTTTTATGAAAACATAAACACAATTGACAAACTTTTAACTAGACCAAGAATAAAAGCCTCAATTAATAAAATCGGAATTGAAAGAAGACATGACAACTGATAACATTGAAATACAAAGGATCATAAAAAATTACTGTGAGCAATTATATGCTAACACGTTAGATAACCTAGAAGAAGTGGATAAATTCCTAGAAACATAAAACCTACCAAGAGTGAATCATGAAGAAATAGAAAATCTGAACAGACCAATTACTAGTAAAGATATTGAACCAGTAATTAAAGACCTCTCAGCAAAGAAATGTCCATAATCAGATGGCTTCCCTGATGAATTCTACCACATATTCAAGAAGAGTTAATACCAATTCTCAAACTCATCCAGAAATTTAAAGAGGAAGGAACATGTCCAAACTCATTTTAGGAGGTCAGCTTTTAACCGATACTAAAGCTAGGAAGGACACTACAAGCAAAGAAATCACAGGTCAATATGCCTGATGAACAGAAATGCAAATATCCTTAACAAAATATTAGCAAACTAATGTGAATAAGTGGGGCTTATTCCAGGGATGCAAGATGGTTAAATATATACAAATCAGTCAATGTGATACACCCCATTAAAAAATGGAGAATAAAAATACATGATCCTCCCAATAGATGCAGACAAAGTGCTTGGCAAAATTCAGCAACATTTCATTATAATAACTCTCAACAAATTTGGTATAGGAGGAATGTATCTCAACATAATAAAAACCGTATCGCCACAGATGACATCATACTCAATGTTGAAAAGCTGAAAGCTTTTCTTCTAAGATCAGGAACAAGACAAGGGTGCCCACTCTTGATCTTTTTACTGAACATAGTACAATGAGCACTACTAGAGCAATTAGGCAAGAAAAAGAAATAAAACACATCCAAATTACAGAGAAAGAAGCAAATCTGTCACTATGTGCAGGTGACATGATACATACAGAAAACCCTAAAGATTCCATAAAAAATGTTGGAACTAATAAGAAAATTCAGTAAAGTTTCAGGATACACTATCAAAATAAAAAAAATCAGTTGTGGTTCTATACAATAACAATGAACTATCTGAAAAAGAAATTAAAAAAACAATCCCATTTACAATGGCATCAAAAACAATAAAATACTTAGGAATAAAAGATCTATATACCAAAAAGAAGACACAAATAAATGGAAAATATCCCATGTTCTTGACTCAGAAGAGTTATTATTATTAAAACATCCATATTACCCAAAGCAATCTATAGATTCAATGCACTCCCTATCAAAAGGCATTTTTCACAGAAATTTAAAAAAATCCTAAAACTCACATGAAACCACAAAAGACATCTAATAACCAAAGCAATCTTCAGAAAGAATAATAATGCTGGCATCATCACATGTCCTAATTTCAAACTATGCTACAATTAATCAATACAGTGTGACATGCTCATTAAAAACAGATACATAGATTAACGGAACAAAATAGAGAGCCCTAAAATAAATCCATGCATATATGGTTAATTAATCTTCAACAAAGGAACCATGAATATACAATGGGGAAAGAATAGTATCTTCAATACATGGTGTTGGCAAAACTAGTTAGCCATATGCAAAAGAATGAAGTTGGACCCCTGTCCTATATCATACACAAAATAAATTCAAAAATGATTAAAGACATAAATTAAGACAAAATTATAGGTTTTTAGAAGAAAGCATAGGGGGTATGCTCCTTGGCACTGACTGGTTTTGGCAATTTTTTTGTCTGGGTTTTTTTTTTTTTTTTTTGGTTTGATACCACAAACAAAGCTAACAAAAGCAAAAATAAATAAGTGGGACTACATCAAACTAAAAAGCTTCTGCACAGGAAAGGAAACCATCAACAAAATGAAAGGCAACCTGTGGAATGGGAGAAAATATTTGCAAACCACGTATACAATCAGGGGTTAATACCTCAAATATACAAATAACTCATGCAACTCAACAGCCAATAGATAAACAAATAAGCCAGTTAAAAATGGGCAAGGGACCTGAATCCATAATCTGAATAGATGTTTTTTTTCCAAAGAAGACATGTAAATTGCTAACAGTACAGGAAAAGGTGCTCAATATCAATAATCATCAGAGAAATGCAAATCAAAACCACAATCCGAAATCCCCTTACATATTGTTAGGATGAGTATTATCAAAAAGAAAAGAGATAAATACTGGTAAGAATGTGGAGAAAAAGGAACTCTTGTGTACTGTTGGTGGGAAGGTAAACCAATACAGCTATTATGAAAAACAGTAGGAGGTTCTTAAAAAAATTAAAAATAGTACTACCATATGATCAATCCATCTCACTTCTGGGTATATACCCAAAGGAAACAAAATCACTTGAAGAGCTATGTGTACTCCCATGTTTATTGCAGCATTATTCACAAGAGTCAAGGTATGGAAACAACTTAAGTATCCATTGACAGGTGAATGGATAGAGAAGTGTGATATACCTACAATGTATATACAGACATATAGATATATGAATATTATTCAGCCTTAAATAAAAGAAGGAAATCATGTCATTTGCAACAACATAGATGAACTTGAAGGACATTATATTAAGTGAACCAAGCCAGACAGAGAAAGAAACAGTACTGCATGATGTCACTTATGTGGGACCAAAAAAAAAAGTCAAACTCATAGAAACAAAGAATAGAATGGTGGTGACCAGGAGTGGGGTGGTAGTGGTGGTGGTGGGTAGAGACAAGGAGAGTTGGTAAAAAGATTTTAAACTTTTATTAGTTATAAGAGGAATAAAGTTTAAGGATCTAATGTATAACATGGTGACTGTAGTTGATAATGCTGTACTGTATAATTGAAATCTGTTAAGAGAGTAGAACTTAAGTGTCCTCCCCCTCACCCCATGCAAAAAAAAAAAGTAACTATGTGAAGTGATAAATGTATTAAATTAACTTAGTGGTGGGAATCATTTCACACTGTATAAGTATACCAAACCATCACATTGTAGACTTTAAATATATTACAATATCATTTGTCAATTATACCTCAATAAAGCTAAAAATATTTTAAAAGCTTTTTTTAGCCCCCTAAAGTAACATAATCCTATTGAAAATCTCAAGAGAAATTTTCTTTGAGTTATTTCGTTTTCACTGTTTCAATGCTCATTAGTTGGGTCTGTATACAAAGCATTTCTCTTCCCAAGGGTTATCATATTTATTGAGTTCTGCCAATAACTTGATTGAGGGGAGTGCTATGTGGATTCAAAAGTTACAACATATAATGTGAGAACATGTAAACTTCTCTTACCTAAGACTTACCTTCTTTCTTAAAATTGTAATAGTAACACTGTGCTTTCTGAGTACATGGGATTTTTTAAAGACTTTAAAATATGTATGCATACATTCCTGGTCCTTTACCCCTGCTCTTCTATACTTTTACCCTTTGGTTTTTTTTACCTCATTTCCTAGAAGGGCATTTACACAGGCTTCTGATGCATCACAGATGGCTGTGAGATCATGTCCTCCTTCTAAGGCCAACACCACATGTCCATCAGCCAGTGTCATCAATTGCTTCGTCAAATGACCAAAGCCTAATACAAACAGAAGATTTCAAAGTATTAATTTAAAAGAGAATGAGTAAAATCCAATATTAATTAGGCAGGCATTTATTCTGTGCATGTCCTGTCCCAGAACTTTCTCTGTGTTAACTCATTTAACACAGCAACTTGATAAATTCGGACCTATTATTATCTCTATTTACCAATGTGGGAACCACAACTCAAGATCCCACAGCTAAGAGGTATCACAACCGGTCATTCTGGCTCTCACTACGGCACAGTACTACCTCTCACAACACATTCTATAGGCACCTGGATGAAAAAAAAATGAATTAGTATTCGGTCAATGTTAATAAGGTAAACAATTCCATTTGCTTGACATGTGTCCTGTCTCCATCATTTGTCTTTACTATAAAAGGAAGTTTCATATGTATCACCTCGAATTACTATCACATTAGATTTTTATAGACACTCTTTTATTATGAAAGTTGATAAATAAAAAAATAACATATATATATATATGTTATAAAGTATAATGATATGACAAACATCTGCTCACTCACCTTCCAATTTAAGGAGAATCTCGTTAGCAATACTTTTGAAGACCCTCTATGCCTTTCTCTATAACATCCCTTCTCTCTATGGGAAATCGGGATCCTGAGTTTGTGTTTATAATTTCTTTGCTTCCCTTTGTTTTATTTGCTCATTTTTGAACTTTATAGAAAGGGTTTTATACTTTTGCAACTTGCTCTTTTTGCACTGCTCATCTCTGCTGATGCATACAGATGTAATTCTTTTCTGTCTAGCTGGCCATTTTATGAGTATGGAAGAATTTATTTATCCATTTTCCTGCTGAAAGATATTTGAATTTTCTGTTATTACAAAATCCCAGTGTTTTATTATACAAACAATGCCTCCCTGAACATTCTTATGTAAGTCTCTACGTGAAAGAGTGGATTCATATTGTCACTTAAAATCTGCTAAATAATACCACATTATTTCCAAAGGGCTATAACCAATCCTCACTCTGTGAATCAGTATATATAAGAATTCTAGTTTAGTCATATCCTTGACAACATTTGGTATACTTTGTCACATGGGTAGGTGAATAATGACAGGTTACTATATTATAATTCAATATAAGGAGGGACCTTTCTATTTCTACTTTGAATTCGAGATTTTATTATAAATAAAAGTTGAATTTAATTATTTCTCTACACCACATAAGATTGTTTCTCTCCTATAATTCTGTAGCTTGTTCATGATGTATTACCATTCTTATACACAGCTGGCTTTGTTTTGCTAATGCTTTGTTTAGGTTTTCACCTATGTTCATGAATGGGGTTAATCTATAATTTTCCACTCTTGTACAGATCATATTAACTTTTTATATGATTGAGATCCTTTTTTTACGTGATCTGAACCTAGAATGCTGGGTAGAAATCTTCAGTAAAACCATTTGAGTCTTGTATTCTCTTTGAGGAAGATTTTTAACTATTGGTCGAATTTCTTTATGAATTATAGGACAACTCATGCTTTCTATATATTCCTGTTATATTTTTCTATGTTATATGCTTCTTTTATGTAAGTGTTTAAATTTACTAAAGTAAAGTTATTATCTCCATTATCTTATATTGGAACTCTAATTAAATGTACATGGTCATTGTCATCATATCCTTAATTGATTTAAAAATTAAATGTTTATTCTCTGAAATTTCTTCAAGTATATTAAAAATACACCTAATCTCTTAAGTTTTCTTTCATATTTTGTTTCTTTCTATCCTGCATGATATGTACTTTTGATTCAGATCTCTCCTCTAGACTTTCTCTCTCCAGATGTGTTTAATCTGCTGTTTAACACTTCTACTGAGATTTTCATTTCAGTGATAATATTGTTCAGTCCTAATGTTCTGTTTGGTTATGTTACATCTTCATAGTCCTTTTTGTAGTTTCTTACTCTTTGTTTATGTTTTTATTTATTTTGCTTTCTTTAGGCATAATTATTTGACATTCTGTATCTGTTATTTGAAGTCTCTGTGGTTTAGTTTTACTATTTGTTGTTTCTTCTGACTTATCCTCATGATGTCTTCATTCTCTTGCATTTCTTGAATTTTTTTGAGCTCATATTCACTGGGACATTATATGTGAAAAGTCTGTGAAGGCTGAGTTGCTTATGATATTTGTCTTTGAAATCTGGGATGAGTGTGATTTTGCTTGCTTCTGCCAGATGGCTGGGACACTACTGACTAGGATCAATTTTCAATTCTTCAATTGCAGGGCTTTCTATTGCACAGAGATTAGAACTATGGACCCCGACACTTGATGACAAATTCTTATGGAAAAGAAATTGTTTTATTTTTCCTTTTCTTTCTATTTCCTTTGAAATTCTCTCTACTGATAGCCATAGCTAAGATAGATTTTTTTCCCCAGCACTATTTCTTTTTCTCCATTTGTCCTTTCCTTTAGATGTGGCCCTTTGTCTTTCCTTTCTTTAATCCGGTCTCCAATACAAATCCTTCCCTTCATAGGCCCAACGTTTTGACTCCCTTTCCAGTATGGAGTAGTCTGTGGATGTTCAAACTCCAGCCACGTGGAGACTTTAGGAAAGTCCAAGGTAGCCAACATCTCTAGCATTTGCTCGCCTTCCTTCGTCTTCTTTGGAAGTCATCTGTACTTAAGAGAGTAGTTTGGATATTTTCATGTGGAGTATTTTGGGATATAAAGTCTCACATATTGCCAAAATGTAAATGTCTCTCATTCAACAGTTAAAAAAAAAATTGACATTTCATCCAACCTGCCCAACTTCAGGGACAAAATATATATATATATATATATATATATATATATATATATATATATATATATATATATATATATATATAAATCCACGTGTTCAATATGGCATTTTAGTTTTAAATATACTTTAAGAAATTTCAGAGAATAACCATTTAATTTTTAAATAAATTACACTTTTAAAAAAATAATTACTCGTTTATTTTTTTAGAGCAGTTTTGGGTTTACAAGAAAATGAGCAGAAGTATAGAGAGTTCCCCATAGACTATTCCACCCTCTCAATGTCATTAACATCTTAGTAACAGTGTTGTTAACATCTTGCATTAGTGTGGTACATTTGTTAAAACTGATGAGCCAATACTGACATATTATTATTAACAAAAGTCTATGGTTAGACTTTACTCTTTGTTTTGTATGGTTCTATGGGTTTTGACAAATGCATAATGTCAAGTGACCACCATTATAGCATCACACAGAACAGTCCTGCTGCCCTAAAAATCCCTTGTGCTCCACCTAGTCACCCTTCTTCTCCAACCCCCAATCCCTGCAAACCAATGATCTTTTTTGTCTCTATAGTTCTGTCCCTCAATTTTTTCAATATTCACATTAATTCAAATTTTTAGCTTCTTGTGTTATCTATTCTAAGGTATAAAAACCAGTAGCTTATTTTCCCTTTCTATTTATTTATTTATTTTTTATTTTTTTTTATTGGGGAATTGGGGGATGGGAACAGCTCTGGGGAATCGGGGGAAGGGGAACAGACAAGTTGCTGTTGTTTTGTTCTTCAGTCTAGTTGTGGAGGACGTTGCTTCACTGGCCCAAGTTGGCACCATCATTGCGCTCTTCCTGGGCGAGGCAGATCAGTCGCCGGCTTCTGGCCGCTTCAACTGGCTGCTGGCTACACACGGTAGCCCATGGCAACCCACTGCAGCAAGGGCTGCAGCCTACGCTGTCACCGGCGACTCACAGCAGCCCAACTCCAGGTTGAGCTGTTGTTCAGCATCTTAGCTGTAGGGGGCAGTGTCACTGGCCCTCATATGTGGGATCCGAACCAGGACCTTCTGGCGTCCCAAGCCAGCTCTTAACCATCGCGCCACTCGGCTGGCCCTCTTTTCCCTTTTTTATATAATACAATATCTAGAATATTTCTATATCCATGAACGCTTGAAAGAATAACCTTGCATATGTGGTAGAGCAGTTCTCCAAGCCTTCTTTGGCTCTTTTCAAGCATGGCCTCTGTTCCTCTCTTAAGTCTTGTGGTCTTTTGTTTGAAAAGAAAGAACATTCTCAGAATAGAGCTGGTAGAACTTAATGAAAGTCCATAAAACTGTCAAACAGTGAGACTTCCCCAAACCAAACTAAGTTGCTTCCATTTTGGAACAATTAAATAATATCTTAATCCTTGGAATGCACTGCGATATCCACCCAATAAACCAGAACTGTCCAGAATGTCAGTTCTGGTCTGGCACTGGAGGCGAGCCACGGACAAGATGAGTTCATTTCCCCACTACCTTGAAACACTTCCATGTGTTGATTCTATGAACTTAGCTACTGGTTTGATGGAAGTCAAATAGGTCACTTTATAATTATCCTATGTTTCTAAATACTTGGTAAAAAATGTGCTAAAAAGGATTTTAAAATTATGTGAAAACTGTTTCCAAGCAGTGCAGTATTTCTCATTTCCTATGCACCTTATATTGATACCAATAAGAATCTTTTCCACAGGCCACTTAGGAATGAGGATGACCACACGTAATTATACCTTCTTACCTAATAACTGTAAAGAGAATGGCAAGCTTGTGTAAAATGTGTAATGCAAAATTCTGAAACCTACCCCTCCATAACTAGGCTAAAGAACAAAAGGACAGCAACTTGTCTGTTCCCCTTGCCTAATTCCCCAACGCTGTTTCCCTCTCCCAATCCCCCAATAAAATCTTAAAAAAAAATTCTGAAACCTGAAGCTTAGAAATGTTCTTCACGTAAGTCAAGGTTAATAGCATATAGTAATTAGTTCTACTCTAGAAGATAAAGGAGCAAAAAATACTCATAATACTCATGGGTAAATATTTCTGCTAATCATATTGCTAAATATTCTGGACAACTTTACCTACAACTTAAACCAGGCTACAGTGATAGCTTTAAAAGATATAATAATAAATGAAGCCCAATACACTATACCTTTCACACTGAAGGGTCCTAGCAATTGAGAACTCAATTATTTAAAGTCACTACTGAGCAGA